ATCCAGGTCTCTGCTGAGTAACCCCTCATCAAAAAGGCTTTCTCTGACCACCCCACCACACACATTTTTTCTTCATGGCACTATCACTATATGCAGTCACACACCGTTTACAACATGGATACATTCTGAGAAATGCGTTGTTAGGCAATTTTGTCATTGTGCAAACAAACCTAGATGGCATAGCCTACTACACACCTAGGCTATATGGGATAGCCTATTGCTCCAAGGCTACAAGCCTGTACAGCATGTTCCTGTACAATACGAGATTAAATCAAGCACAAGAGAAAATGATGCAATCAAGAGATGCAGTAAATACGAGACATATGAGGCTGTTGCCAGCGTAACACGGCATACAGTTTAACTGCAAACTTTCACTTTTTATAAGTAGAAAAAGTACACTCTAAAATAAAAAATGTAGTAAATACATAAAGCAGTAACATAATCATTTATTATCATTATTAAGTTTATGTGCTGTACTATATTTTTATATGACTGGTAGCATAGTGGGTTTGTTTACACCAGCATCCCCACAAACACCTGAATAATGTATTGTGCTATGACATTATGACAGCTATGACATCACTAGGTGACAGGAATTTTTCAGCTCCATTATAAGCTTATGGGAGCTTAACCGAAAGGTTGTTAGGCAACACATGACTATTATTTATTCATGTGCTTGTCGTCTGTCCCCATCAGGCTAGAATATAGAGAGCTCATAAGAGTGGGGGCTTTGTTTACTACAATATCCCTAGCACCTAACGTCTGGCACGTGGTCAACACCCGATATTTGATGAATGAACAAATGAACCCCCCTCAGGTGATCTGGAGGTCCTTCGTACGTCTTTATTACCTAAGGCCTGGCACCTAGTTGGTCCTAGGGATACGCAGAAATCTCGTCTCTCTAGACTCTGCCTTTACCACAGGAGGGGTCTTGCTAAGGATGTTCACCCTCCATTCCCTCTTAGTACACAGGATGCCATGAAGTGACCTCTACTCAGCCCCAGGGGAGGTGCATGGATAGACCACTAGCTAGGTAAATAGAGATCAACATTGAACTTATATGCAGAGTATGGTCAACTCATGGTATTATTGGAAAATCCCAGGCTAGAAATCTCTCTAATGAATCTATTACAATACCTAAATTTTTGCCATTATTGCTCAGTAACTTCAGATGCGTCTAAATATACATGTGAGAGCCAGAGAGTATCTCGAGACAGTGGCTAATGTGGCTCTACACAGTCAGGCAATGCCAGCTCACAAAGGGACAGGCCAAGGCCTGGAGCTGGTGGATAAAGGGGAAACAGGCCAGCCCTGCATCTTGCTCCAGTGAGGGCAACCCAGGAGTCCAAGGCATGGGGTCCAAGAAAAGGACCAGCTCAAGTTCAGGCAAAGCTGAAGCAAATGTCGGCCCCAGCATAGCCACTCCAGCAGGCTAAAGAATTGAGGCATCTGATACTAACATTGTAGGCTCAGAGCTGAGTTCCAAGGTACCCTTGCCAGTGACTAAGAGAACACAAAACAAGAATCGAGCTTAGGAAGGACGGAAAGAAATAAATAACTCCCAAGCCTAAAGGAAGACTGGGTTTAAAGGCAGGGTTGCCAGGCTGACTGTTAAATGAGAATCATGGCAGAGACCCAGTCCCACAGCCAGGGCCAACACTGTGGAACAGGAAGTCCTGGGGCCCAGGAATCACTCCCGCCATGACTTAGGCTACATCCGACCAGCTGGTGAGACGGACTGCCTGTACACCTCCTTTCCAGATCCAGATTAGCTCAGGCACTGGAGTGAGCCTGTCAATGCAGACAGGGCCCGCAAGGAGTGGGAAGGCAGATGGGCAGGCACACACCGCCTTCGCCCAAATTCAGCACTATCATTATCTCCTAAAAATGATCTGACAGGAGCCCAGAGAGGATTTCAGCTGATATAGTGTCTACTATGTGACCTTGGCCAGTAAGGGACACACTGTCAAGTGTTCCTTCCACGGTGCCAACCTGGATTAATTCATTTTAAAGTATAAGATGAGAAAAATCACAAAATTGATTCTCCATTAACATCTGAGACTTTTTAATTAAAGAGATAGGGAGACCAATCATCTAGGTATATTCTGAAAGAATCAAAGGTTTAAATCCATAATACAAATAAAAAGAACGAACTGGGATCAATCGCCAAGTAGGCCTTTAAGGTAGCTCAAAATTTAAAAGTGAAACACAAAAACAGAACAAACAAAGACAAAACCAAGAGTCTCTGAGAAGACCAAAGCAAGAAATTTTTTTTAATAAAATGAAATCAGCTCATTTTTTGGAGACAGATCCACTTCTTAGCCAAAAATAAAGCCATTCCTCCCAAGAGGATATCACCAAATCTACACAAATTAATTTATAATTACAACCAAAATGAGTAAAAGGTCAGAAGAAGTTGATGTATATACATACATAAGTACCACACCTTCCTACAGTCTAGTTCTTCAACATTCAAAAATGCCTTTACAGAAATGTAAATAGATTTAAAAGTTTATTAAAATTATTCTACTACAACACTGAAGAAGCACTGTGATCCCTGGAAATAGACTCCGGGTCCATTCGCATTTTTTACAGGGCCATTAAATTAAAGGCATTTCAACTCTGATACTCTTCCCAGGATTTTCAAAAAAAAAAAAATTATGTTTCTAATTAAATCCCAATTTAATTTTAGAATTAAAATGTTGCCGTCAAATTAATTAATTTAAACACTTAAAGTTTAAGGTCCCTAAATAAGATAAAGCTGTTAACTAACAACTCCTTTAAAATAATATTATTTCCTCCATTAATTTATATTGTATGCATATATATATATGGCTAAAACTTATGGTATAGTGAATTTTCTATAACATATATAGATTTCAAATGTGATTTTTATAAGAAGGAAAACTACAAAGTAAAGAAGGAAATGATAACCTCCACATTCAGGGTTTATCAGTGAGTGAGGGGTTGGGGACGAGCTCAGATTGGGGAGGAGCACCCAGAGGTGCAAAGGCAATGGTAATATTTTTTTTTAACTGAGTAATGTTCAGTTAATATTATTCTCCATATCTTACTTATATTTTGTAATCTCAATAATTAACAATAACTATTTAAAAAGTGAGTTTATATAATTTTCATTTCGGAAAGTATATAGAGATATATGTAAATTGAACTCTTTAGAATATTTTTCAGTAGCAGTGTTATTCAACACGAAAACAACTAAGAGCATTTAATTTGTACAGTAGGCAACGTATCATTCCATTGGACCACTTCCACAGAATTAACAAAATAACATTTTTCTAAACTTCATCACTGATACACTTAATTTTTTTCCCACTCTAACCTGTTTCATTCTGCTTACTTTTTAAAAAACTATTTTTCCCTCGACTTCTCTACAAATTTCACCATTTGGTTAAAAAATATCTTAATTTTTTCTTGTTATTTGAATGAATCTGAAGAAATGACAATGAGGTCACACCTCTATTAAAAACAACAGTACTACTTTTATCACTCAGAATAATTATAAAATTAAATTAAATATTTTGGTAGTTGCCTGTTTTGTTGTTTCCAACTATTTCTTAGCAAGAGAAACCAGGTTAAGTCAAATATCAGGAAAATACACTGGACACCCTATTATTTCTTTTAGCATCTCCCCAATTCTGTTATTTATTCCACTTTCAGTAACATGGTAGAAATGTCTTAGATATTTTAATTTGGCTTTGTTCACACACCTAGAGTATTTAATTTTGTAAGGATAATCCAACCTGAGAATTCCTATAGCCATCAAAGGCCATCTATTTTCAGTACTTCAAAAAACCTAAATTATACATTTGTTAAGAAATAATTTGTTAAGAAATAAAAATATTTTTTTCTTTTCCCACTGGGATTTGACTAGGCCTTCTCAAGTTGACTGGTTATCTCATGCTGATTAGATATTCAAACATATGTCATTAATGAAATTAGAAGAATTAATCATGAGTATTTAATACATGTGGTCTGGAAAATCATTCAAAATATGAGGTCCATGAGACAAAAATAATAAAAGTGGTCTTTTATTACTGGTATTTGCTTTCAACCAATTATATTGCTATTTAAAAAACAGCAACGACAAAGTCTGGGGACCACTGACTTGGAGTAGTTCTATCACTGCTATCAAAAACTCCAGAGAATATTGATTTCCTAACTCAGTTAAAAATTTGCTAGGCAACTTTTTTTTTTTTTCCAATCAGTTCAGTTCTCTGCTCTTCAATCTTTGTAATACGTGTAAGTGGGCGCTGTTAAAAGGGAACAAGTATTTCATATCACATCATCCTGTGATAAGCCAGGTTTTATGGCACTAGGGCCTCCAACTTTGCTTAAGAACAAAATGAGAACCTCTACAAACTACTATCCTTACAAAATTAAGTCCTCTGGGTGTCTGCACAAAATCAAACTGAAAAGGACAACTTCAAATCAATAACTTTAAAAAAAAAAAAAACTAAGCCAGCCTTCCAAACAATCCCCTTTGGCCGTGTAGGGCAGCGCAGGGAACAGGTGCAAGGCGTGCCTTCCTAGAGGCTGTCTCCTCCTTCACAAATCTGACCTTTTCCAGGAGGCAGCTCTGGCACTCCATGAAGCAGTTATCAGTAAGCCTAATGCCTGCTTTCCCATGTGCACTTTCCAAATGGCTCCCAATGCCAACGGCTGAGATATAACCTGGCTCTCAAACGAGAACATGCCTCCCAAGTGACTTGCCAAGTTTCCCTGGAAGCATTTCTAAATGTATTCTCTGAGCTCTCTCCTCACCCTCTCAATCATGGTTCATCCTTCCTTCCTTCCCTGCACTTCCTAATTCCACCTCCTTATCCTGTCCCTCTACTGCCATGTGCCTTCAGTCTAAACTCCTTACCCACTTTCAGAAGCTGCTCATCCCCTCCCAGCCTAAAACCCCAACTTCAGATCCAAAGGCCATGGTTCAACAATTTTGGAGCTGGTTTGAAGTGGTATTTTTTGAGGCCTACCTGAAGGCAGCTCAGTTATGGCTTCTTCTCTTGCCTTCTCCAGCTTCTCCCTTACCCAGGGAAATTCCTGCAGAGAATCTAGGAATGCATCAAATGCTTTAGGACCTCTAGAAGGTAGGATATCCAGCAGCAGCATTGTTTTCCGGAGGCCTGTGGCTTGAGCTTTGATTTCTTGAACATGGTTTTCCGTCAAGACCCCTTCCTGGTAAAGATACTGAAGGACCAGTCCCTCCACCAGTACTTCTGCACCCAGCTCCAGGCGAAGGGAGCGAAGCACTTGCTTGTCTCTAGCCTCCATTTCCCCCTGGGAAGAGATAAAGTTGTAGCTCAGATTACAGGAATACTGATGAACCCCTAATGATAGTGTCCTGCCATGTAAGCTCTCTAAGGTCATGGACATCTTTGAACCTTAGCAGAGTGGCAGGCCATGGTGTTAAACACATGGTTGTTAAGCCAAGACAAATTAATTTCGAATGTTTCTGAACATAACGAACACTGAACATGTATCATCTTTTCTGTTTTTGCTTTCCACACATTAGGGTCCTAGCTCAATTCCTTGTTCAATAAAGAGATTTGGAACAAATTGGATTGAGACCTTGCTTGAAAAGAAACTTTTATCCGAAGATTACAGAGCAACATTTCATTTTAGCATAAGTAGAAATAGTGGTTTTATTTCAACACTGAATTCATCAGTTACCCTGCCACTGCAGAAGCTGCCAACATGCATGCAAGTGCCCTTCTGAACATGAGCCTTTTTAGAACCTGATGGCAATGGGCGTGGGGGCCAGGAACCAGCAGGTACCAGTAAGTTAAAGGGTCTTTTCGGGTAAGAGAAAAGGCCTATACATCATCACCTTCAAGAAAAATATTTAAGTGTTTGTACCCGGTTTACTAAACCTTATATAGTCACAGACTTCATCTCTTCCCTCTAAGAATTCAGACTCTCCATCACATCATGACACTGCTGTGGCTACACATGCATGGGACATTTAATGGATTTTTTTTTCTTTGAAAGAAAAACGTCAGTCCTGGTCAGTAGCCACGCATGATTTGAAGGCGAATTGCCAAGACCACTGCACCAGTGAGCTGAGAGAGAAGTTGTGTGGAGGCTGAGGGTAAATAAGTGGCGGAGAGGGACGGTAGGGGCGGCAGATGGGACCTCCAAACACCACAGAGTTGCGGCCGCGGCTGGCGACCCCGACCCACAGCCCTCTAGCAGCCCTGAGTGAGGTCGGGTAGGGGGCAGGTGAAGCGGAGGGTGTGCACTTTTGGCTGCCAACTTCTTTTTATTCCCTGCCTTGCCAGCTGAAGCCCTGTAGTATTGCGAACACGAAGTACGAGAGATTTGGGGGACAACCTGACCCGCTAAAAAGAGGGTGCTGACAATGACCTTCAGAGCGGACCGAAAGAAGAGCGGGCCTCGGGCACCCCCACCGTCCCCCCAACCAGCCCGGCTTAGGCCGCCACGAGCGGAATAAGGGGCGGAGGAGCCACGCCGAACCCAGGACGCAGACGCCTCGGCGCAGGGCCTTCGAGAAAAGATGAATACGGGGTTTCTGGTTTCCTGTTACTTACGTCTGCAAACACGTATCTTAAAAAAAAATAAATAAAAATTGCAACTGGAATCCAGACTGTTAGGGAACCTGTACCATAAGCACCATCTTTGTTGAGGGCGAAAGCCGTGAACAGGAAGTGTCGTCGCCATCTTTGTTGAGGGCAAATACAGGAAGTGCTGTAGCCATCTTTACTGGGGGCCAAGTGCCAGGCTGAAGCCTTTTCCGCCATCTTTGCTGTGGTTAAACAATATAGCCACCTGGAAATGAAAAATAGTAGCATTACTTAGGGGGTTATCTAAGGAAAAAATGTAATTATCCAATTGCATTTTAACACAGTAACTCCACCACGGCCTAGGACACAATTGAAATAATAGGTCTCGAAAGTCACCTTATCAGAGAGGCCATCCATGACCACTTCATTTAAAATCGCCTGCACTCTCATCCCCTTTTCCAACTTTATTTTTATCTGTAGCACCATCTTTTAATAAGATAGTGATCTTATTAAAACTTTTACTAATAATTCATTTATCATCTGTTTCCCTCCACATAAAATGCAAGGTCATGTCTTTATATCACAAGGTTCCTGCCCACAAAGTGTTTATAAGTCAATTATCCAGGATTCAGCTGCAGCAATCAGCTAGCTACTCTAGAGAGAAAAGAATTTGTCAATGGAAGTGGAGACATTCACAATCATTGGAAAGGCTGGAGAATGTCTGGGAATCCGAGCATGACTCCCTAAACAACACTGACAAAATCAAGAAAATGGAGTTGGGAAGCCACTGCTCCACAGTTCCAGTCTTGTCAACACTGACAGAACAAGAGACTGGACAATAGAACAGTGATGCAGAAAAACCAAAGTCTCCACAGCTGTATTTGCCAGCAGCATCAAAACAGAATCTTACTCCGATTCGTGAAATTGATGAAACTTAATCTATACGTAGAACATTAGCAGCAAGGTTTTCTGGAGCAGGTAGTTTGGAGTTTTTAGCTTCTGAAGCACAGAAATGCTAAAAAGAGAGAGAGGGGCTGATACCAGGAACAGATCTGCTAAGTCAACCACATTTTTAATTTGGAAGGCAAGACAAATACATGATCCAAATATAGACATAAAATAATGTTAAATTGAAGATTGCTCCTCAAATTCCTTTATGAAATAACGCAGTCAATAAATACATTTACTGATTCAATTCTAAATAAATAGGATGATATATACAGAAAGTCATACACCTGCTAAAAATTAGTTGACAGTAACAGAAAAAAAAAAAAAAAAACGTTAAGTATCATTATTTCCATAGAGGTTTTCACAATCAATACCTCTAGTGAATGATGAAAATATCTTTGTAAGCAAATTCGTGGAGAGCAATTGTAAATCTCGCTCCTCAAAACCTTCTGATTTTTGTAACCAGTTTAAAGTTTTATTATACCAATTATTTATTATATCAATCTAGCATTTTACTACACCAGTAGTGACATTATTTTTATATGGGTGGCAAGTATCATTATGATAACTAATATTTTACATATGTGAAGACAGGAAAATCAAAGTGGTCAACTGTCTTAGCCAAAATCTCACAGTTAATATTTAGCAAAACCTGAATTCTAATAAGGCCCCTCTGATTTCATCCTCTTTCCAGTACACAGTACACCACACAGACCTGTATGGTGAAGAGTCTGTTGTTCTAATGATAGCCAAAATATTGGCAAATCATTCTGTACCACCTCCCACTCTTGACACTCTTAAGTTCCAGGTATTCTCCTCCTTTCTCTCTCTTTTTTTGTTCTGGAATTGGGCAAAATGTCTACTTTGTATGTAGGTGTTAGCAACATTCTCTGTCTTCATCCAGATGAAGTACAGATCTCTTGCAATATTGCCAATAGCCAAGGATATTGACTTTTGGGTGAGAAAAGATACGTGTATTTTTTCCAGCTGTAAACTTTTATAATTTTCAAACATAAAATCAAACAAATAGCATGACAACAACAAAAACATATAAAACTACCTAGATGAAACATTTCTTGATGACTTGTTGTATTTGGAAAAGCTTGAAATCTCTTAGGAATCAGAAGGAGACATTGATGGTGACTTTCAGAGGAAAATGAGGAGCCAAAAGTTAGTTCCATGAAGGTTCACTGAACAGAAAAAAAGAAAATGAGAGACAGCATGAGAAGAGTTAGTGCAGGAGCTGAGATGCATAGAGTCCTTATGGTGAACAATATGAGAGGTTGTCATTAAAGAGCTCACTTACAGAGCTCACTTTAAGCCCTTGATCATCAAAGTCCTCTTCCTATGGCAAATTTATATGAGCATCCATGCTGCCTCCTAAGTGACAAAGCTAGTTCTCTGACTAGCAAAATGCCATCGATCAGCCTTTTGGAGTACTACCAACCACCCTAGCATACAATGATGTTTCTGAGCAGCACACCAAAAGTTCAGTTTCACTTACTTAAATATCTAAGGCCAGCAGGCCCCAAAGGAATCCAACATAGATCAGAACCACTATCACAGGTGGTTACCCTTCCACTCTGTCCAGTCTCTCTCTCAAGGCTGGAACTGTGGCCCCACAGAGGATTAAGCACCTGTTACCCAGGGGTAACCAATCCATTTTCAGAAATGACAGATATTTTCCTTTCTACCTCTCCCCTTACCATATTTATTTGTGTCAAGATGTGCCCATTGTGAGTTTGCAAAAGAAAGAGTCAAAAAACAACAACAACAAAGAAAACAAGTGTAATATTTTTCTGTCTTTCAATTTGGTCCTTGGTTTTGCATCTTTCAAAACAAAAATCAGAGGAGTTGTATATTTTTGGTTCTTCCTATTTCATAGATGTGAAAATTAAGCCATGAAGAAAAACAGATTCTTTTCGAACATACTTGAAACAGTCACAGAAGTAGGTCGTGAATTAAGTCACAAAGAAACTTCAATAAACTCTAAAAAATAAAATCAATAGCATACGAACTATTTATCATTTCATGACAAAGTCAGAAATTTTTAATGAAAGGATAGCTTTCATAAATCCCATAAGTTTGGAAACTAAATAAAACAACTCCTAAACTCTCGAACAACAAAAAAGGTCATATAATTCTATTGTATAGCCATAAGGAAAACAGTATGGAGATTTCTCAAAAAATTAAAAATAAAATTATCGTATGATCCAACAATCCCACTTCTCGGTATAGAGCCGAAGAAAATAAAATCAGTATCTCAAAGAGATAACTGCACTCCCATGTTCATTGCAGCATTATACACAACAGCTGCAACCTAAGTGTCCATCGATAGATGAATGGATAAAATATATATGTAATTCAACCTTAAAAAAGGAAGAAAATTATACCTTTGAGAATGGCAAAAATCTAGAACTCTGACAACACCAAATGCTAGCAAGGATGTGAAGCAATAGAAACTCTTATTCATTGCTGGTGGGAATGTAAAATGGTATAGCTGCTTTGGAAGACAGTTTGGCAGTTTCTTATAAAACCAAATATATTCTTATCATATGATCCAGCAATCATGCTCCTTGGTATTTACCCAAAGGAACTGAAAACTTAAGTCCACAAAAAAGCCTGAACATGGATGTTTATAGCAGCTTCGATCATAATTGCCCAACCTTGGAAGCAACCAAGATGTCCTTCAGTAGGTGAATGGATAAATATACTAGACAATGGGCTATTATTCAGCCCTAAAAACAAATGAGCTATCAAGCATTAAAAGAGATGGAGAAAACGTAAATGCATATAACTAAGTGAAAGAAACCCGTATATAAAAGCTACATACTGTTTGATCCCAATTATATGACATTCCAGAAAAAAAAACAAACCATGAAGATCAGTGGTTGCCTGGGGTTGAGGGGAAGATGAATAGAAAGAGAGGGTACAAAGGGTTTTTAGGGCAGATAAAATACTCTGTATGATAGCATAATGATGAATTTATAACATTATACATTTGTCTAAATCCACAGAATACACAACACCAAGAGTGAACCCTAAGGATAATTATGGACTTTGGGTGATTATGATATATTAATGTAGGTTCATCAACTGTAACAAATGTACCACTCATGAAGGGGATGTTATTAATGGGAAAAGTTATAAATATGTAGGGCAGAGACTATCTGGGAAATCTCTATATCTTATCCTCAATTTTGCTGTGAACCTTGAACGGTTCTAAAAAAAATGTCTTAACTAAAAAACAAAACAAGACCAAAGCCTGAAAAAAAAAAAAAAAGAAAAAGAAATTCTATCATATACTACAACATGGATGAAAATGGAAGGCATTATGCTGAGTGAAATAAGCCAAACACAGAAAGACAAATACTGTATGATCTCACTCATATGTAAAATCTTAAATAGTCAAACTAATAGAAGCAAGGTATAATGGTGGTTGCCCAGGGCTTGGGAGTGGGGTAAAGTGGGGAGATGTTGTTCGAAGGGTACGGCGTTTAAGTTATACAGGATGAATAAGTTCTGGAGATCTAATGTTCAGCATAGTGACTGTTAATAATATTATATCATATACTCGAAATTTGCTAAGTGAGTATATCTTAAATTTCCTACAACACAGAAGAAAGATGACTCTGTGAGGTGTTATCACACAAAAAGCTTGATTGTGATAATCATTTCACAATACATATGTGTATCAAAATATCATATTCTACATCATAAATATATACAATTTTTATTTGTCAATTATATTTGAATAAATTTGGGGACAGAAAAGTCACACACTTCTAACCAATAGACTACAAGCAGAAAAAAAACCCTATTTCAGAGAAACCTGGCAGACACCACCTAAACCAAGTGATTAAGGTTAATATCATCAGAAACAAGTCAAGTCAATATCATGAGCTTCAATATGATGTGACAAGAAGGGCACACCATTTCTGTGATATTCTTACTCAAAATTCCTAATCTCAGTCTTTTCATGAGAAAGCATCAGATAAATACAAATTGAGAGACCTTCCACAAAAATATCTGACAATTACTATTCAAAAGTGTCAAGGTCTTAAAAGACTAGGAAAGACTGAGAAACTGTCACAGATTGGAGGAAACTAAAGATACAACAACTAAAGGAGAAAGACGGAGGGAGGTAAGAGGGGAGGAAAGAACAAGAAAGGAGGCTAACGAAGGACTTTCTTATTATCAGGAAGGTATGAGG